GGGTGAAATCACCCGTCATGTGGTCACTTGTGCCTGAATCAACAATCCAAGAAACACAACCTTTAAAGAATGGAGCAAAGTTAGATCTACCTTCACTCACAGCATATGCGTGTTTCGGCTCAGAAGAGGACTGAATTTGATCGAAGATTTGCTTGAGTTCTTCCAACTGATGACAGTTAAACAAACTGCTACCAGTGTTGATTACTGTAGTATTTTCATGAGAATCACACTGGGAGGATGATTTGGAAGGTTTCCAATCAGCATGACGGCCATGAAGTTTCCATTACTTTTCCCGAACATGGTCGACTTTCTTGTAGTGGTCACACCAAGGACAACCTTTCTTTGAACGAGCATAACCGGTCAAGTGAGTGACTAGCGCCAAACCATCAATGATAGTAGACGAAAGCATCAATGAACAATGGTTTTCTTCACGGTGGACTTCGACAAACACTTTAAGGAGGGATGGAAGAGGTTTAATGCCCAAAATTCTACCATGATCGTCATTGAGAGTAGATGTTAGCTCGGACAGAAACTGAAAGACCTTATGTTTCTCGAGCAACCCTTTGAAAAGTCTTGCATCTTCACCGTAGTGACAGTCGTGGGATTCAAAGAGATCTAATTGTTTCCATAGGTGAGACAACTAAGTATTGTGTGACACTTAGATCGCCTTGTTTGAAATCACTAATCTGACATTCGATTATAGACAAGGCAGTCAAATTATCGAGATTATAATAGGTTTAAAGAGTAACGGTCTAGATTTTGGTGACAATCGTATATAACATAAATTTTTCAGTAATTTTCGGCAACATGTAGTTGAGGAGCCAGGACTTGATCATTGTGTTTTCTGTCAACCATGTTTCATATTGAGGAACTGACGGGTCTGGAATTGGCATATTTGCCGAGAGATATTGCTGCTTATGGCGACCAGTGATATATAGACGAACTGATTGAGACTAGGGAAGATAATTATAATAATTCAAGTGATGACATGTGATGGAAGAGTAGCATGCATCTGTGGTGATCCGGTGAGCGACGGAGGTGCCTACCTCTGGATAAACGTCGGACGATTGTGGATGAACCATTATCGGCTGGTAAAAAAAAGAAAATATGGGATTTTTTAAATAATAATAATAATAAGTATGTAACAAATAAGTTTCCCACGAGGGTTGTTTTGTGATGAGAGAGAGACAGAGCTGCAGACGAGGGAATTGTGGCGAGGAGGGTTGCGCAGCGAGAATGTGACGCTGCGATGGGCTGGGCTGCTAGGGTTATGACACTGCAGTGGTTTATGGGCTGGAGATGGGCGATTTGAAGAGCGTCATTTTTCTGGATTGGACGGGTGGTAGTGCAATGGAGGATCATGGCTAGCCGAAATTTGAACAAACGACGACGAGAGCAATGGTTGGATCGACGCCGGTGACTGATACTATATAACAATTAAATTTCTCAAAAACTTCTTTTCATTTTTTCACGTTCTAATGAGAGAATACAAAGGAGTTTTTTTATACAAGGGTCAGTCAAGAGTTTGAGATAGACTAAAATTAGGATTATCTACAAAATAAGATTCTAGGGTTAGTGGTAAGGTAAGAAATTACTATTTACATTTAACCATGATTCACATACCCCCCTTGATAAAATTGTCCAAATAATATAGTGAAAAAAATAGCTCCTCTTGGGTGTATAAGAAATTATTTTACCAACTAAAGTGAAATGAATAGTGATTGGAGGAAGATGATTAGATCATATGATGTCTTTATGAAGATGCATGGAAGATCTGATGTTTTCCCTATGCTCCCATAGCTGGTGCACGCTCATGCCTGGGAGCCTTCTCAGGCCATACGGAAGACGTCCTATGTTTCGTGCAACTTCCCTAGTTAATGCAGAAGACTTCGATTGCTCTATGTGTTTTTCATGTATTATTGTTCAAATTATCCTAGTTGTGAGGATAATCTCAAGGGTACAACGTCTAGGGGAACATATTTTTCCATATCTCTACTTTGTCGATTTATCTCTCCTTCTGGATATCTATAAAAATAATGTCTCTCTAAAATCTTACTAAAATAAAAATCATGTTAGAAAAAATCTTGATAAAGGAAAAAGAGTGCACATATATTTAATGCACACAATATGTTACCTCATTAAAAACATATTCATTAAAATCCAGTGGAATAAAATCTCAAGCAAAATAAACAATATTCAATGCATATTTATTCCCCTCATGACATAAAATTAATCAAATTCCTAAAATATCAATATCAAAATAATATGTTAAAAAAAGGAATTTTTTGTTCCCGAGATATCGGAAAAACAATTAGGCCAACTTATTTACAAGGTGTTACTTTAAGTGTCATATCATAATCACCATCAATATTCAAGGACTAAATTAAATAATCTTAAACATTCATCAGAAATGGTATCGTTATTGTTTGTATGGTATCGATATCATTTTAGAATAGTATCGCGATACCGGATGAGCGATATAAATACTGATTTATTTTCTCCAACTCCGAAGCTTTGCTTGGTATTAGTACCTTGACCCAATACCGGTGCTATATAAATATATTATCGATACTGATCCATGATATTGATACCCTTTTAAAATTATTGGATTTAAATATGAATTTTACTACTCAAGCAATTAATATGACATCTCCTACCGTATTTTTATACCATTCACTTTAATTATTCATTTCTATATTCATACTTTAAAACATAATGTTATATGCCTCATATGCATCATAATACCAAATAATAGGACATCTAGCTACATAGCAAACATATACAAGACAAAATTCAACATAATATTAGTATGTTTACATGGCCGCCATTCTAAGAGATCTTAGCAAAACTCTTTATACTAACAAGATGATGATTTGTAACTTCTAGGTGTAATCTAGATCCACTAAGAAGTATGGTGTCCTAAAATCCGTAAACAAACAAAATAAATTTGTATAATTTAGTGAGATAGTGATAAACATAACAACCTATTTTAGCTCGTGTCTCTACGATACACACACGTATCCTCATAGGCTTTGTTTGTCCCAAAAACATCTCGAACAGCGTCATATGCATATTAATGACCATAGCATACGTTAATAACAATAAAACATACAATTTACTAATGCAATAGTTGTCATCCTTCGTTTCTCTAAACGAGTCAATGACAAATATAATCATCACCTACATAAAGTGATTACACATGTTTTAGTCGAAGATGATGGGTTCAGAGACGGAGCCATGTGTATGGCTGGGAGCCACTGTCCCCCTAATTTTTTATTATTTAAAAATATATAGGGAAAAACATGTATTTAGATCTTTAAATTTTGATTTATTTTGATTTTACCCTCCAAATTTTGGTTTATTTTAATTTCTGTCCCTCTCATTTTATTTTGTTAGGTATACCTTGCCCCCTTAAATTAAAATTTTGGCTCCGTCCCTGGATAGATTTAGCTCGACTTAAGCACTCCTAAGAACCTTTCCCTTTTCTCTTGAAGTGATGACTTCCACCGATTCTACTAGCTCTTGGAAGGTACAAGAACACTTGATAAACAATAATTCATCATCTCAAAATGATCAATTTAAGTAAAATTCTTTAATTTATCATAAATCTTAATTTGAATTCAATTTGGGGTTTTGATTGACTTACCCAATTACTGAATTGACACTGATAATAGAAAGCTTATCTTATAAAGATGTCGAATATGTATTTATTTATTTTTAATTTGGGTGAAAGAAAGAGCTTGAATTACTAGAGAAAAAAATATAATTTAATGAAGATTTAGGGTTTCAAAACTTTCCAAGATTGAAGACGATGACTATTTTTCTTCTCTTCGCCTCCAATGGCTTATTAATAAGCTTGCCCGCCAGTGGGAGAAAACCTGAAAGGAAAGTTAAAATGCATAAATTTAGAAATTATGGAAATTATGACTAAAATGTACAAAGTGATATTTAAATAGTTTATTCACCATTTCGGAAGATGGTGAAATTCAAAGCAAATCCTTCATCTTTTCTTTTCTTTAAGTTGATCATTGCATGGTTTAATTAATCTTGAAACATTAACTTTTATTTTGTTTCCATTTTAGTACCTAAATTTCACATTTTTACTAAAATTTCTAAAATCTTCATTTATCATATTTTAGTCACTAAATTATTATTCAAGATCAATTATTTTTAATCCATCATATAAAATAAATTTTAATCAAATTTTCAGAAATTCTAAATACTGAAATGACATGTCAAAAAATAATTTTCCAATCATCTGATGTTGAAAAAATTCTAGATCAAATTTTAGGGTGTTACAATTTGTTCTTGGGATCGCTCCTTCAAAGGTCAAGATTTGCCGATGCATTCAACTCGAATTGAAGAGGATCGAGGACCATTTTAAAATGTTCGTGTATTGGTGTTGGTTTAACTCAAGCGGTATTGGCGGAGCAAGTGGAAATTTCTTTGCAGTCTTAATTTGCATTTGATCAGTAAGGACTTCGAGAAATTTTAAACACGTGTTGGGTGGCAGGCTTTAAACAACCATGTGTTCAAAGGAGTCTCTCGTACAAAGGCAAGCTTAATGGTGACCAACAGACTCAAAAGCCATTCACGAAGAGAACGAGACCTCACATGTATTGAGGATGCTAGCAGAATGAGTTGAAGCCATTCAAGCCCATATTGATCCTATATTGGACTATGAATCACTTGGCCTGACGAACAAGATTTCAGATTAAAAAAGGACTAAACCGTATCTGTAATCGAACTATTTGTGATATTTGAGATTATTCGAAAGTTGTTCTATGATGGTGTAGACACTTGTTTTTGTCCGATTTTAAAAAAAATATATATTATTATTATTATTATTATTATTATTATTATTATTATTAAATTTTGTATTATTTTGCAGGGACCATTTCTAACAAACTATCCAACAACCCCACTATCCCACTTTCTTTTTTAATTAAAAGATCTGTCCTTGGAAAAGCCTTGGAACTGTACAGCCTAGTCCGGATTCCATGGGAATCGTTGCTTGCAGGACTTCATGGTTCCGTGATTCCCGGGCCGTGGATGAACGTGTTGTCTACCAGAACCATTGGAACTCTTTATATGCAGCTCTATGCGCCAACAACAAAGGGGGGAGAAGCTTCAAACTTCACCCTTTGAAGATACTAACATGCACTGCTTGGAATCTTTTACCAGGCCGAGCGGTGGAGCTTCCACCAACCCAAGTCGACACCGCTCTCAACCAATACCACGACCCACATCAGCAACCGAGGCTTTGACCTCAACATTCCCGCATTGCCGAAATTCTCACCGGCTAATTTCCTTGTCTTTGCCGCGAGGCGTGCTGCTGCTTTTGTCCCGGCGGAAGAAAAAGGAAGGGTCGAGGGTGAAGAGTTGATTCCCGAGTTCCTCTTCTTTGTGAAGGGTACTGTCGACTCGGAGGACCTTCCTCTCAACATCTCGAGAGAAACGTTGCAGCAGAACAAGATCTTGAAGGTTATCCGCAAGAACTTGGTGAAGAAGCGCATTGAGCGCTTCTTTGAAATAGCCGAGAACAAGGAAGATTACAACAAGTTTTACGAGGCTTTCTCCAAGAACCTCAAGCTTGGTGTCCACGAGGACTCTCAGAACAGGAATAAGACTGTTGAATTGTTCCGCTACCACTCCACCAAGAGTAGTGATGAGGTGACGAGCCTGAAGGACTATACGGCCAGAATGAAGGAGGGTCAGAATGAAATCTATTACATCACTACTGGAAACAACAAGTAGAATGCAACTCGATGATCAACATACCCCGATCACTGCTGGAAACAACAAGTAGAATGCAGCTCGAGGATCAACATACCCCGATCACTGCTCGTTCCATTATCTCTCGCTTCACCTACTCTAGATTTAAGATCTTGAGATGGTACCTTTTGCCAAGTTGACCTGCAAATCCTGTTCGCTTTTGCTCTGGTGGTTACTGCTTCTTTGTGATTTCTAATGTGTTTCGATTAAGGCAAGAGAGAGATTCATATTCCTCTTCTTCGTGAGCTCCGACTCGAACCTCTGAACAGGAGTTAAAATCCGTTGAAGGTTTCCAACCCGCTTCCAGATTCTGCAAAGGGGTTACTGATTTTGTGATGGCAAATTTGTTAGAAAACAAACCTGCTTTACTATGTCGGCAAAACATGCATGTGGCAATTGAACGTGGCAGCAGCTAAATAAAGGTGGCAAGTGAATATATGAAATTGAACTGCACACAACATACCATTAACAGAAATGGGCTAAATCCATGGGGTAAATTTTTATAATTGTTTTTTCCCTTTTTTTATTATTATTTTTCTTTACTCAATTTTATTTATTCCTATTTAGCTATCTTATTTATTTTATTATTATTATATTAATATTTTTTCTATTATTCTTTTTATATATAAAATTTTTTAGTCTAACGATATTCTTGACTTTTTAGGGGAATTGTTAATTAATTAAAGTAATTAATTTGAATCGAATTTTTAAATTTTAATTTTAATTTTTTTTCGTAAATAAATACACCGGAAAATTAATTGGTACCGAAAGGGTGGTTCAATGGTGCTAATCCTTCCTTGATCGTAACCGACTCCCGAACCCGACACGTTTCTGATACAACGCAGATCAGGTAAGATGGTGTCCGACTCACCTAAATTTGTTTTAAAGTGGTCGGTGGCGACTCTAACCATTTAATCCAAATCGAAGCCCAATTCCGGGTCCAACCGAAAGGCGGTTCCGATAGATGGGATATTATTTGGATCAGTGCCTCTTCTTACATTTGCATTCTGCATTAGCATTTACACATACACTTGCATCTTTGCATTTACATTTTCAATTGCACTTGCATCTTATATCTTTGTATTTTACATGACATTTAAGCATCTTTACATACTTTCATCATGAAAAACATATGAAAAAAATTCATGATGGAATTTTGTCCAGTGATTCTATTCACACAATTCATCACCTTCCTTATCCCAGAGACTATGATGATAATGCCACCTACTATGGTCTCTAGGGGCAACTCAAGAGCATGAAAACGCGATGACCAAAATTTTATCGAACCAAATGTCTAGGCTCTCGAATTGTAATTATCCGCGCTTCCACAAGGTCATGTATACCACCCACAGGCCACAAGCTGGTTTACAGTCAAACCAAACTATTGATACTTAAAACCGTACAGAACTAATTAAGACGACATCTTGCCTTTCTACGACCACCGTGCTTTTCATAATCGTACAAGACCTCGTTGAAGTCACCCCCTATAAATCAAGGGAACGATGAGGCCCTACGAATAGTAGACAAAGTATTCCATGTAAGTTGCTTATGTTGAGCAGAATAATGCTGAGGAAAGACGGGTTAATATATGGTTAATATACGGTGTTACAAGATATATTAAAAGATATTTAATAAATTCGGTTTAGCGCTATCGGAAATGTTGACTAATAATAATGTAGTAGGTCTAAGTCATGAAGAAATATTAAAAAATTGTGCAACCGGCAAACTTAACTTGTCGGTTCGTGTCGATCCAAATTAAAAATGTGTCGATCCAAAACGATATAACAGGTAAAACTATGACAAAACCGGTATTGAAATGATAAAACCGGTAAAGCGCTACCGGATACATTTAAAGTGTCGGTACTTTAATATAAGGATCGACACTTCGTGAATTTAAAAGAGAAACTGTTTTAAATCCTATAAAGTGACGATACTTTTAAAAAATGTATCGATCCAAAATGATATATCAGGTAAAAATATGATAAAACCGGTATCAAAATGATAAAACCGGAAAAACGTTACCGGATATATTGAAAGTGTCGATACTTTATATAAGGATCGACACTTTGTGAATTTAAAAGAGAAGCAGTTTTAGCGCCTATAATGTGTCGATACTTTAAAAAAAATATATCGATCCACAACGATATAACAGGTAAAAATATGATAAAACCGGTATCAAAATGATAAAACCGGTAAAACGATACCAGATATATTTTGAAAGTGTCGATACTTTCGTAAGTACGTGTAATAAATTATCGACACTTTCAAAGAAATAGGTAAATATCATTTCGAAAGTATCGACACCTGACATAAAAGTATCGACACTTTTGTATTTGTATCGATTAAATATAAATAACATATCCGATGAAAATATAAAGGCCATATCTAAATATCCTCTGAAAATAGATAGAATGGACGAGTTTTTGAAATCGAAGCGTAATTGTTGTTGCATATCAGAAGGCGTTTCTAAAGCGAAGTTTGTTTGTTTGTTGCTGCAGTCGAATCGAAAAGTATGTTGTCGAAACCCTAGTTTTTAATTATTACAGTAATAGGAAATAAGGTTTTTATGTGTTGTTTGGGGTTTTAGAGTAAAGAAGCATTTGAGAAAGATTACAGGTAGAAAGTGATATTCAAGGTAAAATATAAATGTCGATACTTTTATTAAATATTATAGGTAAAAAATGATATTATAGGTTGTATAAATGTGCCGACGCATTTTGTAGTGGCCATTCAAATTCTTTTGAAGAAAACCGTTTTACCACAAGAGTAGTTATCTATATTTGTATATTGAATAAAGTGTATGTAACAAGTATTTGATTTGATTTGCGTAAACTGATATATGAAGGAAAAATGGAGTCAATGGGTGGAAAAATTGTTGGTGACGCAGATGACTTTGAAATTGAGGCCGAGACTCGAAAGCAACCAAAGGGTGGATATATGTACTTCTAGTAAGTATCAATGTCTTTTTGTTATTATTGTTGAAATGGTAATTGGATTAAAGTATCGATAAACTTTAAATTGATTACAAATTTTAAATGTTGACAGTATGGCCGAATGCAAAAGGATGAAGGAAGATGGCACACAGAGCGGTTCGGTATGTAAAATGAAATTGACATTGAGTAGTATTTAGTGTTAATGTATTGATTAAGAAACGTTTATGTTTAATATTAGGTGACAAAAGATGTGAGGTCCAAATGGAATTCAATGAGTGATGCTGAAAAGGAACCTTACATCACACAGTCAAGGAATGATAGTAAAGAATACAAAAAACGGAGGAAAGCACATGAAAATAAGATATTCATTAAACTTGTAAATACGTTGATACAAAAATATATAAGAACTATAACATTATATATTGTTAAAAAATGTAAGAAGTGTCGACAAGATGCAGCATTAAAAGGGTGAATTCATTAATTAAACACCTTAAGGAGAAGGGTCAGTTGAATGTGCTGGGAGAAATAGGTTTTGGATCGTTGGTAGGAGTAAGGGATCGACCTATTCGGAGGGAATTGTGTTGATCCTTGATGGCGCAATTTGATGTCAGACAATGTATTGCTAAGTATGGTGATTTTTCATTTCCTCTCGGGATCCCATGTGCTGCAGCCGTATTGGGGGTAGAAAATGAAGGCAAAAGTGTTGTAGAAGTCTGTAAGAGTAAGGACTGGAAAGCACTTGCCTCCAAATATGGTTTGAAGCAGAAGGTGACATATGCTGAAATTGAAGAGGAAATAAAAAGTGGATCTTACGTTGGGGATGAGCTGAAGGCCAGAGTTCTATTATACCTTGTCGGTATCTTTCTTTGTCCAACGGGTAATACGTCAACGAACAAGGAACATATGAAGTTCATTTGCGATGAAGGCTTGAAGGGTGAATTCAATTGGGCTGAATATATCCATTCGAGATTGATTGAATCAATAATCACCTTTAAAAAGGGCAGCCAGAGATACCTCAAAGGGTGCATAGCAATCTTAGAGGTAAATGAGTTGAAGAACTTTTTTGTGTTTTTATATAAAAATATAAATTTTATTATAAATGTAGGTTGTACTGTTTGATTTTTGGTCGGGCTGTGAGGTAGTGCCGGCTTATGAAAAAACCGGAGTGGCATGCATCCGTGCATTGGGGAAGGAAGAGGTGGTTAGAGTGATGGTGAAGTTGAAGTTGGATAGAGCGAAGAAGCAAGAAAGGGTAATAAATGTAATTAAATAATATTAAGAATATAATCAATGTCTTAATATTGTAATTTAATTTTGAAGGTTATTGGCAAGGATGTAGAGGAGGCGGTAGAGGCAGAGGAGAAGAAAGGAGAGATGGTTGTATTGGGGGATGACGGTGAGTGGGACGACGGTGAGGGAAAACATAGTAACTTCGACATTTTGATGTCTGAATTGGCTGATATCAAAAAAATCCAATTTGATATCATGCAAAGACAATCAAGAGTCGAAGAGAAACTTGATAGAGTCGAAGAGAAACTTGAGAGAGTCGAAGATACACTTGAGAGGCATAAGGGGGTAGTGGAAGGAAAAATAGATGGAGTGGTGAAAGAAGTAGAGGTGTTGAGGGGTGAAGTGGTGAAAGAAGTTGGGGTGTTAAGGGGTGATATTAAGATGGTGACGGGTGAAAAATTTGAGGGAGTGGTGAAGGAGGTTGTGGAATTGAGGAGTGAACTTACGGGGGTGAAGGGGGTGGTTGATAAATACTTGGATGAAGGAGATCAATTGAAGGGTGAAATTAAAGAGATAAAGAGCTATGTAGAAAAAAAATACGATGAACTAAAAAAATATGAAGAAGAAAAGAGGGATGAGGAAGAAGAAGAAGAGATGGAAGAAATGAGGAGGAAGGAAGTCGATGTCATTTATACACCGGAGAGTGTTATAGCAGCAAATTTGGATTCGGAATGTCCTGCACCCCAGAAGAAGAAGCAGAAGGTAAGTTGAATAAAAGAAAACTTAATTTGATTTTTATTATATTGTTGTGACAAAAAT